CCGTTTGGTGTGTGCTTCTTTAGAAACGATTCACGCAAATCATATAAGGAGAGTCACTAAGCAAGTGACGCACTCGTTTGGCTTTAGCGTCGTCGCCAACTTTTTTACCTTCTTTCATCATCGCTATTGTATTTCTGTCATGAAAACAATTCTTCTGTTGTTGTATAAAAAAAAAAACTTCCTATTTCAAGCCCACCGCGATATCCATACAGTGAGACATTCCAATCGCCGGAACTTGCTGAATGATAACTTTCACCGTGATTGATAAGCGTAGAGTCTGATAAGAAAGCAATGTCACGATTTGATCTTTATGATGAAATACGAGTAGTGATGTCATTCTTAGCCAATCAGTAAAGCAGATGCATAAAAGTCAAAGATGATTGCCAGACTGTAAACAAAAGCATCGTGTGCCATCGCAGCAGAGCGACCCAATTTTTCTTGTCTCTTTATTGTGATAATACATGAATGAAAAGTGCCAAGCTGACAGACTGCGAAATCCGTGGATTAAAAGTGCTAAGTCCAAATTGCGTGGGACGATATCGACGAACTTCAGGAAGAAGTTGTAGGGATTTTGTTCGACGACTACAGTGACGCCGACTTGGACCTTTAGGGTTTTGATTTTGACGAAGATGGAAATGAACGTATAAATAAAGATTTTTCAATCAGCTATAAATTTTTATAATTTTTACTGTGTAAATTTGTAAATTATTATTGATCTTGTATGACAGTTGATTCATAATTTGTCGAGACCAGAAATCAGTTTACGCAGTTTAACCCCTGACATTGTTTTTTCCATTTACTGCTTTCTTAGCATCCACTGGTCCCAAAGGTATGAGAGCTCTGCTTGTCAGACAGGTAAGTCTCTGATTGTTGTATTCTCATATAAATAAATAAGGTGTATTTTCTAGACTAGCTGATGCTACTCTGCTCTAAGTTTAGTGCTAGTCCATCCATTAGGAGTGTCGTTACTACAGAAACCATATTCCTTGTTTGTGATCACAACATGTGAATGATAAGGCTTGTGTGACCAATTGGTTTACCTGATATATCAATAATATACTGCTGTACTCCTGTGTCTATGACCTGCCCCTAATGAAATGAAATTCTAGTTTGTAAGTGAATGATATTAAACTCAGTGACTGTGCATTTGGTTCATCTACTCTGTCACTGCTTGAGAGATATCGCTTCACTATAGTTACTTGCTATACCTATGACTTGCAATTACTGTATGTTCCTTGACTAGCATTCACTTGTTTTGGAGTATGGCATCAATGAGACGGAGGATGTACAGTGGAGGGGTACACTGTTTCAGCAGTTATTGGAGTTGACTGATATTCTATTAGACGGCTACTTAGCACAGTTGGAATCTGTGAAAGAGAAACACAGTGAAGACAGTGATCAGTACAGTGAATTAAAACATGTATATGAGCAGCAGAGATATGTATTAATCATACCATTTGGTAAGTATTGGTAACTTTGTTTTTGTGTGTGAAATCTAGTGTTGTTTAGCATATCCTCTTGCAATTAGTACTGTATTTCTATTGGTAACACGTGTTCAGGTAAACTACAGAGGTGAGTTATAATAAGTGATGTTTTAATGAGCTGACAATAAATGCAATTTTGGGCTTATGTACACTAATACTTTATTTTCGCTGGAATTTATTTTCGCTGAAAAGGCTTTTGGGGCGTTTTGCTTGGAATTTATTTACACTGATTTTTGATGAGATTAATGTAAAATATAGGAAAAAATGTATATTCGCTGGATTTTATTTTCACGGAATCATCCCTTCAGCAAAAATAGCGAAAATAAATTCCAAGCGAAAATAAAGTATTCTACAGTATAACAAATATAGTAATGATACATTACTTCTGAAAGTCAATGGTGCTTGATTTCTCATTCACATAAATATTCTGACTTGTGACTGGTGGTAATCTTATCACTACATCCATCTTACTCTCTAGCCTGAAAGTTTTCAGAGGTTCTGCGTCGTAGGTTTTAGAAATAAGAGTCTATAGATCTCATTCTATACCTTTATTGTTATGCCTGCTTATTACCAATACTTCTTTGCTCTACAACATGGCTGCTTGATATTTGGATTAATTCACAATGAGTGGAAACTCTTGACCAATTTCCTAAATACAGACATGTAAAAAAAAATTTTGTTCTGAAAGGCAAACTCAGTGGTCAAGTTGAAATAATTGTAATTGTTTTACAACAAAGGCTTTCATATATAAAAATACTGTGAACTGCCAAATTTTCGTCACTAGAAAATTTGTGACTTCATTATTTTATGACATTCATGAAGAAAAAATGTGAGAAAGTGACTGACACTCGTCGGACCCCAGAGAAATTGTCAATGCTACAAACTTTCACAAGACTTCCACTAATTTACAGAATTCTTAGTCTAGCTTTTCAACTTTTTGCAAGATTGGTCACATCACTTCACACAACATTATTACTCTGCTTTACAGTTGAACAGTCTCAACTAGAGAGGGCAGCATCACTTGCTGAAAAATACTGTGATTTCAATATCCTAGTGAAACTATGTGAGGAGACGGATAACCAAGAGAGACTACAACGATACATGAATCAGTTTGCAGAGAAGGTAATGTTCATACATGTAGCAAGGTGTACAATTGAATGAGGACTTTTTGTTTACCACAAACAGATACTCGGTACTTGATAAATACCGGGGGTACTGCGCGGTAACAGATGTAACCATATCGGTATGGATAATACCATTTTATTCACAGGAACACAGGAAACAATGCTGTACAATGTATTTAAATTCAAAGTTTGCACCAAACCATCTGTTTGGCCGTTAATGAAGCCTCTCTCTGACTAACAAATGATTAAATTAATGCACAGAACTAGGTTAAAAATGGCCATGAACCATTAAAATGTATGCAATGGTGGTAAAAATATATAACTGCATAAAAATAAAATGAACACTATGCAATGATAATGATATGAATAAACGTACTAATTGTACTAAACATACTGATTGTAGTAAGCATAGTTCCATTTAAATAACTATATATATGCACAAGGTATGACGAAAATACTTAGTGATGTCCTGGGGTTAGAAAATGTACTGTGTGGTCTTTGAAGTTTGCACTGTTTATCAAATTATGTATACTAGTAAATGATTGAATGTATATGTAAAATGTATATTTGCATAGTATATATAATACACACATGGGAAGCTTTCAGTGACTGTAGATTTTTTTTAATTTGAGGATAACTCATCATTTATTAGTATGATGCCATCAAATTGTTGTATGATACATGCCACTGCAGACATCATTGTCATACACAAGTTATGAATGTGTAGAGTTGTTTAATGCCAAGTGATTGTAAATGTTTTACCTGTATAATTTTTTTTTATCTCATCTTGTGTTTTCAGGGCTTCACAGATTTCGTCTTTAAGTGGTATTTAGATGAAGGTATGAACATGCAACACAGAATTTATTTTATTTTTGCTAATGAAGCACCAAGAATTTCTATCCTCTCAAACAATTTTGTGAAATTGGAAGTTTTAGTATGTGGTTTTGTGACATTCAGTTCTTGTCCTAATCTTGGACATTTCTAGCGGTAATCACAATTTACAGTATTAATAATTATGTTAATTACATCATATTTGTAGGCAAACGTGGTAAGTTGCTGTCACAGCCTTTACCACGGAATCAACAAGCAGCGCTTGGTCAGTTTCTTGATTCCCATGACCATCTTAGCTGGTTGCATGATATTCAGATGAACTCATACAGCAAGGTAGGTTTGTTGGCTTTATCATTTGAACTGCACATATTCTAGTCTGCCATATTAGTCTTTACTGGACTGGATGCAGTTTTTGCAACTCAAGGTTGCCTAGTCTTGCAAGGGGGGCGTTAGCCTGCAGCTGAGATCTGCAAAAGCTGTATCTAAAACATATCACTCATTTTATTCTTAATTTTTGCTTGTCTAAATCCAATGACTCTATGAATAATTAATGACATTACTTAGTGACATACAACAGTGATGAATAGACAAATAAATATATGTTGTTTTTACAGGCACATGATACACTGAAAAGGCTGGCCTTCAAAGAGACAGAACAGTTTTCTCGAAAAAAGGTAATGTATTATATGTAGTTGACTTGACTGATTCAGTGAGGTTAATATGTTTCTATCAGAGGAAAGGTACACATTCATTCATACACATTCATGGACTATCCAAAACACATGGTAGATTCAAATTTCATTTCTTTTGTAATGCAGACATTGATTAGTTTGAGTAAATTATCTGCCCTGGCAAGTGATGAAGTACAAGAAGATGAAATACAAGGTACAAAATTAACACAATAATAATGTCATTAACATAGTTCATCTACAATGCATACCGGTATACCGTATTGGCTCTTACTCTATTACTCTATTATGGAAGTGCATATAAAACTAAAAATCGCATTGGTTGTATACTGAATCATATTACTTATTTTGATCCTAGAAACACCTCTAATATACAGAAACATATGCGCTACAGAAATCAAATGCGCTATGTACATTGATATACATGTATATATCAATTTTAATGATGGTGGCCAATATGTAACAGTGTTTTCTCTAGGAATTTTCATCAAACATGGAGGAGTGCACTATTAAATATGATATGATTGCTCATGGAACTTGTTTATACCGGTACCTAAAAGTATGAGTAGTATCATGATAATGTTAATTGTCTAATTTTGTTTTCTGTAATATTGTAGAATACTTTATTTCAGCTGGAATAAATTTTTGCTAAAAAAAGACTTTTTGGGTGTTTTTTTTGGAATTTATTTTCACTGATTTTTGACAAGTTGAATGTAAAATGCAGGAAAACAGGTATATTCGCTAGATTTTATTTTCACTGCATCATCCTTCAGCGAAAATTAATTCCAATCGAAAATAAAATATTTTACAGTACCCCAAAAAAAATTCTTCCAATCATTACCACTATGGCTGCACTAAAATCGATTCAGGTAATACAGTGTACACCATTCAAATAGAATAAATGAAGGGGGCTCATAAAAATTGTCATATTTATGTGTATACCAAAAATAAAAAAACACATTGTCTTCTTTTTTGTTTTTTCTAAATTTCTAGTTCTTTTCTTTTTCTAGACTTGATTGATGAACAAATACTCCTTGCTCACCAGGAAGCTTTGCCAGTCAATGTATTACATGTAAATATATTATACATTTTTAGTATCTCTTATTTTGGACATGCCTGGATGGATCATGTTCAAATACATCTTAGGAAATAGATGCATACTATAGCATAACTACATCATTTTGCTTACACACATATTGTTTTTGTTCTTTAAATTAAACAGAGTCTTCAGATAGATCAGGATACAATGCCACCATTTTCAGCTATGAACCTTATTCAGGTTGGTATAGGGATATGTTTTAGCATATTTCTGGTCTTTTCCATTATTTAACAGAATTTGGAGTGACGGCAAGTTTAATAACAAATAATGATGCTTTGTATGGAAGACAATATTCAACACAGTGCTAAACAAAGGACGATATGCTGCATATATAACTGTTGTGTTAGAGTTTATAATCAAAGCGTGGACAATTCATTTGATTCGGTGGAACTTCACTGTTTTAACGACTGTAAACTATTTTTCGTATGTTGCAGTTGTATTGTAGTGAACACAATTCCTCGTCCAATGAATATGACTTCAAGAAATCTCTTGATTTGCTTTCCTACGTTTCCAAGGTAGGTGAGAAATAATATATATGATCAAAGTAAGATGGCAGTATCATTAAAATGCAGATACTTGTCAGGTTTTATCAGCTAACATTACTGTGGTATTTGTGTGAAAATTTATTAAATATTCAGAAAAAATTCCCCTGAAATCCACTTGTATAATGTACATATATCAAACTCTTTTAATGTCTGGCTGGAAAATCTACCTCCCCAAAACAAGACAATTACTGCTCACAACAACAATGACAGCAACAACATAAATTCTTGTAAGTTTGATTTATTTATTTAAAGGAGGATGCTGAGTATGAAGAATTGAAGCTTCATATATGGTGTCAATCAATCAAGAAAGACAAGTAAGAAACTTTCACTATTGCTTAAAATACTACATGTATGCAGATAATTCTAGTGTTGGTGTAATACTGCTGTATTCTATTCCCTTAGTCTGGGACAAATTATAAATCAGTTACTTTAACAGTTAAACTTTTTTTATTTTCCCAGTTGGACTCAGATCCAGGGACCCGAACCCTTAGCTTCCTGTGAACATACCATCTTCTTTCGGACACTAGGACTGGCTTATGACCAGGGTAGGTGGAATAGATGGACACAATTGTTAACAAATTATTTTTTCAATATTCAGATATCAAGATCTCTCCCTAATTCTAATCAATTAG